AAATTCCAAGATAGGAATAATGGCTGGCTGAGATTTTGTGTTGTAGTTATATTTTTAGAGTCCTTAAAATTATGCACTTGCTTTCCAGGACAAAGACTAGTTAGTTCAAGATGTACTTTTATTGATCTAGCTGCTAGATGAGTGGTATTTCTTGTTGTTTATTGTTCAGTTCATTCACTCATCAGTCATGTAAACTAAGATATATTTAGTGAGAGGACAGAAGTTGAATAAAACTCAGTGCCGCTGTCAAAAAAACACCATATTCTTCGTTAGAACTTCTCGTGTGTATTATTAATTATATTTTAACAGCTTTATTGAGATATAATTCATTCATCACAAAATCCACCCTTTTAAAGTATACAATTCAATGGGTTTTAGTATAGTCACAAAGTTCTGCAATCATCTCCACCATTATAACTTCAGAACATTTTCTTCACCACAAAGAAAAGCCTCATAATCATTAGCAGCCACTCTCCATTTTTCTCTTCCCCCAACCACTGGCAACCACTAATCTACTTTATTTTTTATGATCTTGTTTTTACTGAACATTTCTTCTTAATGGAGTGATACAATATGCAGTCTTTTGTGACTGGTTTCTTTCAGCCAATATAATGTTATCAAGGTTCATCCATGTTGTGGTGTAGATCATTACTTCTTTCATTTCTTTTTATGCTCAAATAATAGTCCATTGTATGGACATTCCACATTGTGTCCATGTATCTATCAGTTGATGGACATTTGGGTGTTTCTGTCTTCTGACTATGGTGAAGAGTGCCACTATGAACCTTCATGTACAAGTTTTTATTTGAATACCCATTTTCAATTCTTTTGGGTTTATATTTAGGAAGGGAATTTCTGTGTACTATGATACTTATGTTGAACATTTTGAGAAACTGCCAAACAGTTTTCCAAGCTGGTTATACCATTGTAAAATCACACCAGCAATATATGAATATTTCAATTTCTCCATATCCTTATTACTTTTATGTCTTATTTTAGCCCTCTTAATGGGTGTGAAATTGAATCTCATTGTGGTATTGATTTGCATCTTTTGGGGGGCAGCTATTTGTAAAATATCTTGTTTAGAGGAATGCTTATCAAATACTTTCTTTTTTCAAAGTAAGGGGGTTTTGTTTGTTTGTTTGTTTGTTTGTTTGTTTTTAATAGAGTTGCAAGGGTTCTTTCTACATTCTGGATACAAGGCCCTTATCACATACATGATTTACAAATATTTTCTCTCATTCTGTGGGTTGTCTTTTTATGTTTAATTACATTTTAATGGAACTATTCTACAAATAGAGTATAGACTTAAAAACCAGGATATTATGATTAAATAATAAAAAAATCTGCTAAATTCTTTAAAAGGCAAGTATTGAGTGACTATACAAAATAAATTACATGCATATTATGTAAGGCACTATAGATCTGTGACAGAAACCTTAATTAAACTAAAAACAAAATATATCACTAATTCTTGATTGGTAAGAGATTATCACAGAACTGAAATATAGAATAGGATTTATATTTTCCCTCTTCTACTTTACCATGGAATAAAGGGAGACCCCAAGTCAGACTCAGAAAATTCATTCAGGAGTGCTAAGAGGGAAACTTAACAGCCTTCTCTCTAGTTACAGTTGGAACGTTAATTTCCTATACCAGAGCAGTAGATCTTCTTTTATGTTTTATTTATTTTCATTTATACCCTGAGCAAATACTTTAAAGACAATAGTATGTCCAGGCACTGTCTATAAATGTAGAGGACCCTAGAACACACAGGGAAGTACCACCAGCCCCCAGGTGCAAGGGGACTGATGTGAATAATCATTACTCTCCTTCATGAACACATAGAGCACTTTCCAAGTTCTGGACATTGTGTTAAGCAGTGGGAGCATGGGCAACATTGAGGCAGGTAAATGCTAATGAAGATATGTTTAAATGTGTTTGGAAATACCTAGAATAAAGAAACTCTAACTAGAAGTGGAGGTTGGGGTTGGACAGACCTCCAACATTTATTAATTTATGAAATACTTGCACACTTATTCCACAGATATTTACTGAGCATGTAATAAGTGTATGGGAAAAGGTGCAAGAGATAGAGCATTAAGCAGCTCACGAGTTAGTGTACGAACACAAAGACAAATGAATGCAGTGCCAGGCAACCTGTGCCAGAGTGAAGCTCCACAAAGCAGGATCATACCTTTATCACAGTTATAGGTCATGTGCCCAGACCAGAGCCTGGAACACAGCAGGCAGTTAAGAAGATCTGATGATTGAATGAAAACAAGCATAGAAGAGGGGTACAGCAGGTGAACCAGTGAGAAAGTTGTGTTATTGTTATTAACTCCACTAAAAAACATAAATTCAAGGTGTAAGAGACAGGCCTAGCGCATAAGTGCTGGAATCTGGGTCTGGCCTGTATCACCAAAGCTTTTACTCTTTCTATATAGATTAATGACACTATATCCAAACTTGTAAGATGACAGCAAACGTAGAGAGACCACCAACAACTCTGCCTAAATTTGTTTCTCTCCGAAAACAAAATCCAGTTTGGGATCATGTGATACAATTCAGGAAGTTCTTAACTGAAAAAGAGAGGGTGCTTGGACACATTTCAGAGTTAGCCCAGGAGCCTATCCAGAGATGAGATCCTCAGCTTCTTCATAACAACCTGAAGCATGTTTAAAGCAAACCCAAAGGGCTGAGAAAATTAAATAATATGCATATTTAATTTTAGCGGATATATAGAGGAGAATGAATAAAAGACAATCCTTGAAATCAGTCTAGAAACAGTCCAGCTGAGGAGGGGAGGCAAGTGCAAGTAATTATAATATAAATTTGAATAGGATAAATAAGAAGTAAATTCCAGAGGTGGCTGGTGGTGATGGTTGCAATAGCAACGTGAATGCACAGGGTGCCCTTGACGTTAGAAATGGCCAAGATGGTAAAAAAAGAAAAAGAAATATATAGGATGGGAACATAGAGATGGGAGAAACAACCACTGGTTGAGGATCTAAAAGAAAATTTCAGTGGAGGTAATATTTGAATTTGAACTGAGCCAATAGGACTTGGGTAGCCAAAACTAAGGAAGGATGTCAGCTGGAGGGACCAGCTGAGCAAATGCCCAGAGGCAGATAAGATGAGGACACAGGCATGAGCTGATGATTAATTCAGTTTTGGGGACACAGACTACACAGTAGCCAGCAAATAAGGGAGACAGAGCAACAGCTATGGACACATCCCTCCCTATGAGCTTAGACTGGATTCCCCAAGACCAGAAGTCAGTTTATCCAGAGAGTGACATGTGTTTGTTAAACATCATGGAGGCAAGGCAATACACTAGGAGGTATCACAAACCCCCTGCAAACAGTATGAGTGCCTGAATGAAGGAAATGACCATCAGGAAGAAGAGGGAGGGACTGACCAACACCAGAAACACTGCAGAAGCAGTACCCATCTGTCTGTCTGGGTAACAGATGGACTCTCTATATATCTCTGTAGGACTAGCATTGTTATGTTTTGGTTGTTTGTGTCTTTGTTGTTGTTAAAATTTGGAAGCTCAGCCTCATTCCAAAAGAAAAAATAATTTTAATAATCGAAAGCACATCCTGACTATCACCTGCCAAGAGGACTTTCTGAATAGGGATGCCTGGGGTTAGGAGGTGACCTTCAACCTGCTCGTTTCTTACCCCCTTACTTCATCTCAAGTGGGCATCCATTCCAGACACTTCATTTCATGAACCCGTGAGCTGGGACGGGAATTCTGACCAATGCAGTGTAAAGAACTGTACCAGAAGTGACCTGGGACTCTGACTGCCCAACACCGCTATTTATTCCAGGCAGTTTCAGAAACATTTCTTCAGCCTTTTGGTACTAACCACTCCTTGCAATATTTGTGCACCGAGGCTTGTCAAAAAAAAGAACTAAAAGGAACACTATTTTCAATCCCCACCATTGGAAAAATAATGGGGGAAAAAACTACATTTCCCCCACCCTTGCCATAGCAACATTATATTTTTATAAGATGGAAACTTCAGGCAACGTGAGAAAAATACCTGAAGCATAATTTGCCTCTTTTTTCATTTTGCTGAAGTCTGACAGAATATCCTTTCTCTCTGACTCTCCTGATGGATTTGGGCATCTTAATCACTCACTCAGATTTTTCCTGTAGGATTATTGATGGTCCCTTCTCGACAATCAACATCCCTGCCTCTTCCTGATTCAATGAAAGATTCGGGCGAAAATAAATAAATAAACACCAAGATCTTTAGATTTTTGTGTCTTGAATATTTTCATGCCTATTTATACACCTTTCAAATGAAATGACTTCTGGAATAAATTGCTTGTTGTATGTATATGTAAGTTTATATGGTAACACTTGAGGAAATTAACAACTTATCTGATGGAGAGGTATTCCAGAATCACATAAGATTGGAGCTGGAGTGCGCCTCCAAAACGTGTAGATGTCTGTATTTAAAAGTGAAAATTCTCTACTAAATTAGACATAAAAGACAGGCAGGAGACCCATCCCATCTCTCCTTTATCTCTCTGTGTCTCAACTTTCAAAGGCTGAGAATATTTTTGTCTAAACTGATCAAGAAGCAGAAAATAGCCAGGCGCCGTTGTGCATACCTATAATCCCAGTGACTAGGGAGACTGAGTTAGCAGGATTGCAAGTTCAAGGCCAGCCTCGGCAATTTAGACAGACACTGAACAACTTTATTTTGAGACCCTGTTTCAAAAATAATAATAATAAGAAGAAGAAGAAGAAGATAAAAAGGTCTTGGAATGCAGCTCAGTGATAGAGCACCCCAGGTATAAATCCCTAGTACCAAAAAGGAAAAATCAGAGGTTGGGGGGATGGGGAGAAAAAGCAGTAGCAGAAGAAGCAGCAGAAAGTAGGTTTGCAAAATTTTAGTTTGAAGCTACCCATTAAAGCAAATAAAGAAATCCTCAGATGCCAACCATTAATGCTCTGAAATTTGGGGGTTTTGTCTTCACAGAATTCTCCCAAACTTTTTTGCCCTAAAAACAGAAGTTTTGACATAGATGCCATCTACAGCGTGATAGATGACGCCAAACAGTACGTGTACATTGCTGTCATGGACTACCTGCCTATCTCCAGCACAAGCACCAAAAGGTCAGTGAGTATCCACCTTCTAGTTATAACCCAGTTTTTCAAAGCCAGCCATTAAATGAAGGATCACAGGATAAACCAGCCTGCACATGGAAACACTATCACATTGCATTAGGAAGAGCACACTGTTCAGATATGCCTGATGTGCATTTTTAGTTCACCCACAGATACATCTACTCCCCAAATATTAGAGATCAGGGTCTTAACTGAGCACTGTAAAGCATGATTCTAATCCCAGTTACTTGGGAGACTGAGACAAGGGGATTTCAAGTTCAAGGTCAGTAACATAAAGAGGCCCAAGCAACTTAGCGAGACCCTTTCTCAAAAATAAAATAAGGGCTGGTGATGAGGCACAATGGCTAAGCACCTCTGGGTTCAATTCCCAGTACCAAAAAAAAAAAAAAAAAATGGGGAGGGGTACTAGGTTCTGGCCATGCATAAATAGCTCAGTAGTTCACATTATTGGCATGAAAGCAATTTCAGAAAGTTTAGGTAGTTCTCACTTTGAAAATTAAAATACAAAGTAATAAAATGAAATAAAATAAAACAAAGACTAGGAGTTCAGCTCAGTGGTAGAGCATTTACCTAACATGCATGAGACATTTTATTTGATACTCAGCACTGCAAAAACAAATTTAAAAAATAGACTATTATTTGGAAAAATATATTTTTAACATTATTCATGAGGATGTACCAAAGGATGTGCTGAATATAACTGAGTAGTCTTGCCAGATTTTCCTTAAAGGAGATATTTCTTTCTTATATTCAGAGCAATCTTCATTAAATGCTTAATGTTCATGTATCTTCTCAATGTAAAGGAGAAGGAAATTAAAAATATATATGTTCCCAGTCAATGCATCTCTCTGGGAAAGAAACAGAACATCTTTAAAATGTAGTATTTTAAAAATTAATTCATCATTCTTTCAGCATGCAAATACTTGAAATAAATTCAGGGACAGAAATTATTTTTTTTCTTTACAAAAACCTTTGCATGTATATATGCATGGCCATGCCCAGGTACTCCCATTCTCCCATTTTTGTTTTCTCACTGTAAATGTACAGATTCAGGTGCTTGTCAGTGTTCTGAATAATTGGTTTAACCCAGGAAATCTTTTCAAAATGCACTTTTTGGGAGTGAAACCAAAGACATTTTTAATTTGGAAAATTATAATTTCAAAATAACCATTTACTGAGGTTAAATGATTAAGTATGCCCTATATTGCTTGAATATTTTTCATATTGCCAACCCCACATATGCATAATATGTAACTTCTTTATGCAAATTACCACAGAATTGCAGTCTTCCAGAAAATGATCACTCCTGATGACAGTCAGTGAAGAAGCGTTTTAATCTGCAAGACGCACATGATTAAGACACTTTTACTTTAAAATATTGTGCATCCTTTGAACATTCATGGATTCCCCCTTGCACACATGCGCTTTCACATATTTTTTTATCCCTCCTTTTCATAAAAAATTTTCTTTCTGTTGTTTGTTTGATTTTAGTTCAGTTCTGGATGTCAGTTTCATTTTGGAAGGATATTGAAACGAATAGGTTTTGCATAATTTTCCTGTTATGAAAAAGGAGAATAAGGCAAATTCATGGATTTCTGTTTTAGGATAGGAAAATGCATGATCAGATTGACAAAACCTTTGTTCCATGAAGACCCATAAACAAAACTGGAATCCTTCATGGTCAAGGGAAAAAGAATTATGAAGTACTTAAAGAAAAAGAAATTAAAAGAATGTTAAAGAACTGAAGCCTACCTGAAATTTTGCATTTTGGTTATTAATCTGTCTTTTCAGATGTTATTCAGAGAATACTTCTTTTATTATATTTTTAAAATTTCAAAACAAAAGGTGTTTTTAACTTTCTAAACAAAAGGTCATTGAATAAAAATAAGTAGTTCATATATCCAGGTTATAATGAAAATCTTCTCAATCAAATGAATGATATTTTTTAAAAGGTCAGATTGGTTACTCATGTTTATATAGTACTGGAAAAGTTTTTCAGGAGTCAATTAAACTTCACTGAACTAGTAAATACTATCAGATTTTATTGTGTTTATGAAATTAATCAATATCTTAAAGATTTTTTTAGTCTACACACTGCCAATATCCAAATGAAAAAGAAAAAAGTTCATACACTCCCAAATTAGAAATGATTGACAGCCTGTGAAAAAAAAAAAACATACACCATAGTTTAGTGTTAGTTTTAGAATTTCTAATTTTCAAGGTAGTAGGAAGTGAATGGAACAATGATGTATGACTAAGAAAATACTGTAGTTAAAAAATCAGAAGCCCTGGAGCTGGGGTTGTGGCTCAGCAGTAGAGCACTTGCCCCTCAGTTGTGAGGCACTGGGTTCAATCCTTAGCACCACATAAAAATAAATAAATAAACAAAATCAAAGTATTGTGTCCATCTACAACTTAAAACAACATATAAAATTAAAAAAAAAAAATCAGAAGCCCAGCTCCACCTCGTCCTGCTATAGCAATCAAGCTGTCTTCCTTCAGTCAATTCACGTAATTATTTAGGTCTCAGTTTGGGGTTGTTCATGATTTATTTCTTCAGTTACTTGGAATGCATCTTTCAGAAGGAAACTGGTCAATGTGTGAAAGACTAATAAAAATGTAGCCTGATTGGTCTTTGAGTTCAATAGTCTTCTCTTCCCACAGTTTCACTTTCTATAGCTTCAGTTACCTGCAGGTTGAAAATATGAAAGGGAAATTTCCAGAAATAAGCAATTCAGAAATTTTAAATAGCTTGTATTATAGTATCTTGCTATCATTTTTCTTTTGTTAATTAATATTGTTAATATTTTATTTTACTTAATTTATACATTTTACGCAGGATTTATATGTAGAGGGGGAAAAAACACAGTATATATAAGGTTCAGTACAACCTGTGGTTTCAGGCATTGACTAGGGTCTCGAAATGGTTCACTCATGGATAAGAAGGAACTATTGTATTAATATCTTTCATTTATTAATATCTGTTTTTTAACAAATATTTATATAGCTCTGTGTACTTATGGTTAAAGCATGAACAGCATATGGTCACAGAAGTTCCATCTGATAGGGGCAGATAGACATAGATTATCTTATTAGAATGCAGTGGTACAGATGGAGCAATAGGTGTGTGTAAAAAATATTAGAGCCACTCCATGAAAGAACATCTATGGTACAGTTCCTGAGTTAAAGGAAGCTTACAGGAGGACCTGCTATCTGAGTTGCATTTCAAATTATTCATGAACATTTGTGAAAAGTATAAGAAATGGAATTTTCCAAATGAAAGGGACACCTTGAGCCAAGTTTCAGATGGAGGAAAGAAGCCTAGAAAATTCAGTGCTAGATCACAGAGCCCAAGGCAAGGTGGTGAGAAATCAAACTGATGAGGAGGCAGGGACCAGGAACTAGGGGGCCCCATCTATTGGTAAGTCTTGTGAGTTTGGAGAGCCTCTTCTGTGTTTTAATCCAAAGAAAAACATGACCAGATGTGCTTTTAGATGGGTCATTTTGGAGGTCATGGTGGAGGTACTTGACAGGGATAAGACTGGAGGCAGAGAAACCAACTTGAAGCACAAGACTGAGGTGATTTTTCCCAGTAGGACTCAGTTTTGTGGGTATAGAAATAGACAAAAAGAAAATTACAGCACTTACCCATGATTTAGGTTTTTGTCATAAGTGAGAGAAAATTGGAAGGGCAAGTACTATGCAGATTATCAGACCTGGCATGAGAACTGGGCAGGCAAGAGACACAGGGAAGAGCTGAAGGACAGGAGTCATTGAAGGGATCCTAGGGCTGCAGCCCACACAAGGTCAAAGAGCAGGTTTTATGCAATTGAAAGAGCAGGGGACTTGAAGGGCAGGAGGCTGGCATCGGATACAAAGAGAAGATGTGTGAAGAAGCAGTGATCATGACATAAACAAGCTAAGGTTCTGAATAATTTATCATGAGCCCAAACAGTGGATTGGCCCAGAATTAGGACAAGATTTGAATGAGTAAACAAAGCCCTACAAATGCAGAGGAGATAAAGTATGCAAGTCATGGTCCTTAAGATAGGGAAGTTGTTTGGTTTTCACGGGAGAATTAAGTGACAATTCTGGAAGTGACATTGGCAGGAACGGGGGAGGTAGAGCAGGAAGCTGTCCTCACAGTTGAAACCAAGTGGCTAGGTTTGGGGGTGGGGGGCTACATGGCAGGTCTTTAAGAGAAGTTGTGGCCTTTGAGAAGAATCAGGGCATCCTTAACCCTAAAGGCAGAGGGCTAAGGATTCAAGGAAGAGGTTGAGGCTGTAAAGAAACTGATTGTCTGATGGAAGAATCCAAATGTACAACCCAGACGTGGGAGGTAGAGGAGTCCTGGGAGGCTTGGCCAGGAGAGGTGATGCCAAGGACACCCTGGAAAGAAGAGTGTGAAAAAAGCTCAGATAATCAGAGCAGAAATTCATATGGAGACAGTTACCCAAGAAGAGAGGTCAGAGGGGCATTTGGGGACAGAGGAGCTGCTCAAGCCTCTTAACTGAAATTGTGTTGAAAAACTGATTCTTAGTGCACATATGTGTGGTGGGTATGATGATGGAAGTGTGCAGTGGTGGTCATTCTGTCTGCACCCTAGGCCCATGCAGTCCAGGTGCTGGTGGTGGGAGATCTTCTTTTAGGCAGGAGCTGGTACCAGTCAAGCTTCATTTCTTTGTGCCTAACCCAAATGACTTGCATTTTTTTTTCAACCTATCTTACAAGGCTTTTTTGTTTGTTTGTTTGTTTAAGAGAGAGAGAGAATTTTAATATTTATTTTTTAGTTTTCGGTGGACACAACATCTTTGTTTGTATGTGGTGCTGAGGATCAAACCCGGGCCGCACGAATGCCAGGCGAGCACGCTACCGCTTGAGCCACATCCCCAGCCCATGGGCTTTTTGTTTACTACAGAATAATGATCAGAGAGTAACTGAAGTGTTTTCTATATAGTACAGTCAATTTTCTTCCCCAACCTAATTTATTTTCTTTATTTTTATCTATATGCATATTACTTATACAGGACTTACTGGCCAGACCTGGATGGAAAAATAAGAGAAGCATTAGTTTTACGAAGTGTTAAAGTTCGACTTCTTATAAGCTTCTGGAAGGAAACTGATCCCCTCACATTTAACTTTATTTCATCTCTTAAAGCTATTTGCACAGAAATAGCCAACTGCAGTTTGAAAGTTGTAAGTATTATATTGACTGTGCTATTAAATAGATTGTATTCCTTTGCATGTCTGTGAAAGCTGTGAGCATACACATGCACATAGGCTTCCAGTAAGAACAGGAGAGTAAAGACTACTTCAGAGGGTAGGAAGTTATTTTTCAAAACAATCACACACAAAACACGGACAGTGGACCCAAATTTCCTCTTGTCTAGCCTTCTTCAAACACACTTTTGTTGCAACCTCTCCATTTTGTTTGAACTGCTTCATTCACCTACTGTGATTACCTGCACAACTGTGACCACTAGAGCAGTGGAACATGCTCTAACAAAGACCCCCTCCCAGTCCCAGTGTTTCCCCAGCCTGGGCTTCCACACTTGTTTCCTGGTCACCTAAACCACATGCTATTCCATTCTGAAAACCTTGAAGGAAGCAAGTTTGGAAATTGGTGATACTCTAAATGTGCTAACTCTCCAGCTCATCTTTGACTTTCTCCATCCTCCACACAGGACCTTTGTGCATACTGTGCCCTCTGCCCATAACACTCTTCTCCATGCTTCACCTGACAAATGGCCACTAACCCTTTGGGTCTCATCTTTGTCCAGCCTTCTGTGTAATCATTCAATCCATGTGTGCTGAGCCCAAGCTCTGTAGCAGGCCCTCTTCTAGGTAGTTGGGCTGTGTTCCTCTTGGTATAGAGGAACTCAGGGTGACAAGGGCTTTGCAATATCACTTTGACATGTAGCTTCTGACCCTCACTACCTCAATCAAGAGAAGTGAGAGGCTGGAAAACCATGAAGAAGACTTTACGGGTCAGGTCTAGAGGTGGCCTGCATTCCACTGCCCAGACACCACACACGTGGGGACAAGGGAGGCTTATGAGTGTGTTCAGAAGGATAGCTTTGTTCCCAAGGGAACAGAATATATCTGTGAATCACCATGGTCTGAAGTTCTGGGTACCCACTATCTATTACACTTTTCCCACATGGAGAACCCTCATCCCTCTGTGAGGGAGAAATGCAAAGTTTCATCCAAATCACTGCACAAATCTCTGTTCAACTAGTTTTTGTAAACTGAGGCAGCCATACCTATGTCTCTGGGTTCACAAATCAGAGTAAGTATTGCAAATTGAAACAAGTCTGTGGTTACCCCCATGGAAGTTTCCCAGGTCAGATTTGCAAATAAATGAAATAACCAGGAACTGGATCAGAGCACCAGTGTAGTTTGGAATCAAATATCACAGATCTGAGAAGTTGCTATATAGTCCCCAGAAACCTGGCAGAGACACTAGAGGATAGAGTTTAAAACCTTTCCACAGACAAGGGGATGCTTAGGATTATTTCAGCCCAGGAACAGCATCTTCCAGGTAATTGAAGTGACATAAAGGTCCCAGGGGTAATCAAGCAAGACTAGGAACAGGTGCCCAGTGCCCAGCATGATGCCTGGCACAGTATTCCAATATGTGTCGAATGAGTGAAAGTATGAATGAATAAAGTCAAAGAAAAGAGCTAGCAAAGGCAGAGGGATAAGAAAATTTCTCTAAGATAGTGAGAGAGAGGGAGCCGAGTCCAGAGCAATGCCCAAATCCAAGGTGTGGTTAGCCACTTTCTGTGGACTCCGATGCCCAGGGAATCATTCGCAGTAGAAGAGCACTACTGCCACACTAAAAAGGTCTACCAGGAGCAGAAAGGAGGGCATCTTGGCCTTGGGCACACTCTGTGGTATATTTGCTTTCATGTTCTGCAACTTCCCTGTGCCCATGTCAGAGGTCTCACCTGCCAGCTACTTCCTGACCCCATATCTAACACCTGCTAAGGCCCCTGCAGTTGAAATCTCCCAGGGGTGTGAAATGTTGAGTGCTCTCAGTGAAGACTTGCAAGAAATTCCAAGGAAAGTAGAACGCCTCCATCATCATAACCTCTACAGTACTTCATCAATTTTATCTTTCTGAACACAGATGGTCATATTTCTTGAATAGGCCAAACATTAAAAGCTCACCGTTGGCCATTTTATTAAATAGAGGTCATGTATTTCTAAGCTCAAGACAAGCCAAGGTGAGAAGGAAGCTTAAGGCCCCAATATCTAGAACACAGATGGCTGATGAGCTCTTCCAAGGAAAAGTAGGCATTGGACTCTTGCATGCGGCATATCTGCAGGAGCCTTGGAGCTTTGCTAAGACACAGGGCTTGGGAACTGGACAGGAAACTCTGTCCTTGGAGGAATGGGCACCTCACACCCCTGATGTGGGTTTGTACCCACAAGGAGATCACAAAAAGAGACAGCAACTCACAAGATTGTTCCAGTTAGCTGAGTATTTATTTTTTAATGAATTAACTAATCAGTTTTGAAATGACTTTGCTGTCTCTTACAACATATGATGGTATCTAATAATGTCAGTGAATTTCTGACTGATTTCTGCTGTCATGTTAGTCTCTCAGATAAATCTGTCTCTCCTCTTCTGGGCCATCATCAACTTTCTAGAGAAAATGGGTTCTTGCTAAAGCCTCAAGCTGTGACTCCATCCTTGACTTAACTTAGGATATGTATTTTACTCCTTTTCAAGTTGATTGATTTGAATTCAATCAATTCTTGATTCTACAATAGTATCTTTCTCAGAAGGAAACAGTCTATGCGTGGGCATATTGATAGAATGTTTAGGCGAGCTGACTGCTGGTTGTTACCCACAATACTAACATGACTTTGTGAGTATATAACTGTGACCTGAGAGCATTCTCAAGTTATTAAGTCAGTTTGATGACTCCACAAACCAGCAAATTTTGTGGAAGACAGGAACTAGGGAAATAAGGTGAACTAGGGCATTCTCTGTGCCCTGGGAGAATGTTCCTCTGTGTTGTGAAATAGGCATTATTTGGATGGTAAATTTTGGTGTGTGCACCATGGATCTCAAGGGTTTTGCAAAAAAAAAAAAAAAACAGGCTGGAAGGGACCTTAATGATCACCAAGGTCACCTCTTTCCCAGTCTGAGGCATAGGCAAGGAAAACCAACTCTCATTATTTCCCCAAGCCAAATTTAAACACTTACTGTTTTGAAACTATACTATGTCTTCTTTTTTAAGTATCATGTCATTTTTCTCTCTTTCTCTTCTTTCCTTCCAATACACATGATCTCACACCTGTAAGACATCCTAGAAAAAAATCCATGGTGAGGCTGGGGACGTAGCTAAGTGGCAGAGCACTTGCCTAGCATGCACGAAGCCCTGGGTTCAATCACCAGCAACATACACACACACACACACACACACACACACACACACACACAAAGAATTCCTTGCCATTATGAAAATGTTTGTTTTCTAATGTACAGACCTGAGACTTTCACTGTTGATGGGTGTGAGCTCAACCACCAGAGTCCCAGGAGCTCAATCACAGTCAAAACTTTATCCACACTCGTATATCTAAAAAGAACAAATTCAGCAGAATACAACAGTCACTAGTATGGAAGTATGTATAAACGTGGATGTATAACCAATGTGATCCTGCAATCTGTACACATGGTAAAAATAAGAATTCATAACCCACTTGAATCAAATGTATGAAAGATGGTATGTCAAGATTATTGTAATGTTTTGAGAAACCAATAAAAAAAAAAGAAAAAGAAACAAACCACTTTATCCAACACGTGGCAAATTCAACAGACCCAGGAGTGCCTACTTTGATCTTTCCTGCTCTGAGCCCACATTCTCCTTGTTCCTCCATCTTTGGCCTTGGTTGAAGTGCAAACCTGCTTTTGGGGTCATGATGAAGTTGAAAGTCAAGACTCATTGTTTGCAATTATGGTTTGCATGGCTTGAATCACCCACTGAATGAGCTTGTAGACTTAGGTGTGTAGATGGAAAGTATTTGTTCCTGTGGAAAACTCTCTTGTGACCTTTGTGAATCCCCAGGCTAATCAGCTAGTCCTTGACATAATGCATGCAAAGTGTAAGAATACTCATTCAGTTCTTTGGCATGCTTGACAGAAAGGTCCCTGAGGCATGCTTCAAATGCCAGTGCACCCTGGTGAATAAGACAAAGAGAATTAAACAACCTTCTGGCCCTCACCCTGTTGAAAGAATGAATTTTGTAGCTTAAAAGTGTTAATTATAGACCAAGTGGAGCATGCTAATTTTCTCTCTTGTTGCCTATATAAATTCAAGAATAAAAATAGCTTCCTCTATACAAAGTAACGAGTGTATGGTTTTAATAACCCAATATGAGGTCTATTGTTGACATTTGGATAATTCGCTCCTTTGCCTGTTTGAACAGACCAAAAACAGTCTCTATTCACCTGATTTTTTTTTTCTCCTTACAGAAATTTTTTGATCTGGAAAGAGAGAATGCTTGTGCAACAAAAGAACAAAAGAATCACACCTTTCCTAAATTAAATCGTAACAAGTACATGGTGACAGATGGAGCAGCTTATATTGGTAGGTGTCAGGGCTGGGAAGCTCCTCAGAGATTGCCCAGGAAGTGCTGGTTCAACTGGACCTCAGTGGTGGTCCATGGTGAAAGATCAGCACCTTGGAGCCATGGCTGATGACTAGTAGGCCCTGGTGGTCAGGAAATAGGAGGGTAGGGAGAAGAGCTCCTCACCCCAAATGTCTCCTCTGAGACCTGATTCTTGTACTAGGATATCATGGAAGATGTCTTTACATCTTGCTTTGCAGAAATTCTCTGGTCCACTGGCCTCATTTTATAGACAAGAAGGCAAATGGCTCACAAAGACCGTGGCTGGCACCAAAACAAGCACCACAGCACCACAAGCCAGTCGACCGTGGGTCATGGGGAGGCAAGCACTGTAATTGTTCAGTGCCAGAACTTATACTATCTGAGTCACAATCCCATTCCTGCCATTTTCTAAATGTCTAATTTTGGATAATTTCCTTGAACTCTCTAAATCCCAGTTTTTCTTATCTGTAAAATGGGGTTAATGGCAGTTTCTACTGAGACAGTATATACAAAGTACCTGGCACAAATATAAGATCCAATTAATATTAGCTATTAGTATTAAGGTAATAAAGTCCCAGATGCATAAACCCATTTGTTGATGGAATTATTTCCTAACATATCAAGTTTATTCTAATTTTCTGTGCTGTGCATGAGCCCTACGTGGTCCCTTCACTGGAAACATCACAGGTAGAGTTGAAATTATCTGTACAGGGTAGGCACATAAATCCAAAACAGCCGTGTGGTTATTACATGGCATAGACAAAGTGGCAGTCTCAAAACAGAAAAGAAAAATATGTTTGTGAGAATATAGGAACATGAAGTTCATATTAATCATTTTTTTCCAAATTCAGTGGATGAATAAAAAAATATATCTCAACTTTAAAAAGCACTTTATATGATTTGATTCTCTTAGCAACATCATCAATAAGGTGACTTTTATCTTCTACATTTCAGAAATCAGAACACTTGGGCTGTAAGACATGAAATGTCTTAGTTATGCAGGTGCAGACCACACAGCCCCTTTGGCCATGTAGAGGTTTACTAACCCCTGGATCAGTGTGAAGATGCTCTTTTACCATTTTTAATAGTTATAGCATCATTTTATTAAAATGGATTATTAGAACATCTTCTGTAACATAAGCATATTATTTTATCCCTCCTGTTCCTCTTGGGATTAAAAAATGTGATTATTTGAATTTCCTCATGTTTATCAGCTTAGGACGAATAATATGAAATCAGCTTCCTTTTAAACAAGTGACAAAAAACAAACTCAAAATTGTTTACTAAATAACAGGAAATTTGTGGACAACTATTTGGAAATCCAGGGATGGAATCAAATTCAGAAACAGTGGGATTTAGAGACCTAAATTGGGACATTTCACTTGTGAGCTTTACTTAAAGCAAGGTGTTGTGGGCACCTTCAGTAGTAATTTGTAGTAACATTCAAATGCTGTTTTGATAAGTCAAGTATTTTGGAATCAGACAACCCATATTTTAATTCTAGCACTGATACAAGCTGGAAGATGGTAAAAAGTCACATGATCTTCCATCTCCTTATTTGTGAAATGGTGATTATAGCATTCACCCTTTGGTTTGGCATGACCATTAAGTGAGCTAATATACGAATAGCTCCTAACATGACTCTCTAATCTATCTAGATCCTTAATAAATATTGATTCTTTGCTGTCCCAGTATTCTTCCCTAAGTCATTTTTAAATGACTTTGTATTCTTAGGCCTTGAGGCCTTAGACTTAAGGAGTAAAATGAAAAAAAAAAAAAAAAAGACCCACCTTCCAGGATTCCAAGAGGTGCCACGTGCAAAAGGGAGTTGGTATGTTTGGGGGCTTCAAAGGGCAGTGCAAGGACCAAAAGATGAAATTTTAAAGAGACAGCTAAGTACCTTCTGCCAGCAGCCTCTCCCACAGATGGCTGCAGGGATTGGACCAAGGTTATCCAAGGACACATGAGCTCAGCATCTTATTCAGCAAGTATTTCTGCAGTGAGACCTGAATTGCTACTGAGGGAATGGAAGACCAGTCTTGACATTTAAAGTCTCCGTTTCCCTTTGTGGAACTAGCTCTTAACCAAAAAGGAGAACAAAACCATGAGCTTAGTTCATACCAGGGATGGTGGTCACTTATAAACAAATTTTTGTGAGTCTTGACACGGCTCAATGTTTTTTAGAGAGAATACTTCTTATTTGTCATACCATAGAGAGCTCATGGAACCTGGAGACCTGGGTGCATCACTGCTTAGTCATGGGACATTGGGCAAATTTATTCCCTCCTTTGAGCCTCCCTCTCCTCCTTTGTAAAGTCAGTGTAAATCTTACCAATCATGAAATAAACATAAATATCAAGTACAGTGCTTTGTTCATAGTAGGCACTCAATAAATGATAGTCACTCCATCCTTAGACACCCTTCATTCCTGGCCTCATTCCTAGTCTCTCCCCTTAATGTTCCAATGCCCTAACTATCCATAAGTTATCTCTGTCCACAAGATGTCATCCTCTCTTTGGGATCTGGCTCTCTTGTCCTAAGTAAATTTCAATGCATCTCTCATTATTCAATAGAATGTTCCTTTCTTGACCCATGTAGCCAGAGTTAGAAACTCCTTCTGTCCTGTGCTGGTGGCATTGTGTGCATTCTTCTCTCCTAGTATTACATACTCTTTGTATTATAACTATTGTGTTTCCCTCCTGGACTCCTTGAAGGCAGGGATGCCATTTTCACCTTTATATTAGCAGCTCCTAATATGGGACCTGTTAGACTAATGTCACCTAAGGGAACTCAATAAGTATTCATTGAATGAAGAACAAAGAAGAGTAAAGGGGAAAAAAAATGGTGCTGTGCCCTCTTGAGGAGAAACCTTTGATCTGCTGGAAACCTGTCTGCATTTGATACCAAAGAAGAGACTAACTTGGGCATTATGAGTTGTCCAGTCCTCTAATCTGCTTCCACCTTGCAAATAAATGGCATAGAGATTATTACCCTCTCTTGGGATAGAGTCCAGCCTTACCGGCTCCCTCAAAATTCATATGGCTGAATTGCTAACCTCCAGTATACCAGAATGTCACCATAGTTAGAGATAAAGTCTTTACAGAGATAATCAAGTTAAAATTTAGATCATTCAGGTGAGCACTAATTGAATCAGACTGTTGTCCTTATAAAAAGGAGAAATTTGGAAACCAAAACACATAAAGGGAAGACAATCGGAAGAGATATAAGGAGAAAAGGGCTAGCTACAAGCCAAGGAGAGAGGTCTGGAGCAGGTCCTTCCCTCAGCCCATGGAAGGAACCAATTTTGCTGGCACATTGATTATGTCTCCAGAAGTGTGAGAAAAGAGATTTGTTGTTTCACCCACCGAGTGTATGGTACACTATGAATCCAGCCCTAGAAAACAAATACACTGGTTAACACCACAGTCATACATGGGAGCTTGTTCTCAAAACAACTGTCTGAATTCCTGGGCCAAAGTGGCCAATACAGGAAATTACGTACATCCCAATAGAGGAGCATTTGTGTACTCAGGAACCAGTACTTCCCCAGCATCAGCTTTTTCTTTGATGCAAAAGTTTTTCAGCATTATGCTTGTACATATGGATTACAGGGTGTCTCTTTGAGAAGGTAGTAATTGTTCACAGGATTTTTAAGTGTATTCCTATATATTTCAAATGTTGCCATATTTAGTGCGTCTTGTGAATGTCAATAAGAAATAACATTTACAAAAAGGAACAGCAGATTCCTTGTTTTGAGTTTCAACTTGAGCGAAGCTGAAGGAAATGCCAAGATAATATGCAAATATTAATATGCCATATGTAAGGCTTCTTGGATTTTTTTTTTTTGAAGCTGTCAACACAATTCAGGTTCCCTGTCATTATTCCTGGGTGTTTATGTTATAATTTTTTAAAATAGAATCGGCTCTGTATTTCATTATATTGGGACTATTCCCCCAGTGGATCCTAACTCCTCACCATTATTTCTTTGTTGGTTTGCAGGAAATTTTGACTGGGTTGGGAATGATTTTACCCAGAATGCTGGCACAGGCCTTGTTATCAACCAGGCAGATGTGCGGAACAACAGAAGCATCATTAAGCAACTTAAAGATGTGTTTGAAAGGGACTGGTATTCACCTTACGCCAAAACCTTACAGCCAACCAAACAGCCGAACTGTTCAAGCCTCTTCAAGCTCTCACACCCCTCCAACAAAACTGCCACACACAATACCAGCGGGAAGGAGCCCTTGAGCGCATAGCAGAGTGAACAACAACAGTTCCGTACTTCGTATTTATACATAAAGGACTCGAGGAGAGAAAGACAATTTAATATGTCTTTTTTTTTTTTTAGGGGAAAAAAAAAGCACACTTATAAAAAAAAATGTTCTCTGAACGACGTGTACTCTCTATCTAACAGTATCTTAGCACCATGTATACTAAAATCAAGACTTTTGTATTTGTTACTTCTGACAGAGAATGTCCTTCTGGCTTAGAAGTTAGTTTTTATGTTTGCCTATGGATTTTAAGACTTGGATTCCTGTTTCCTGTTCCTGTCTGGGTTTTAGAGCTTTTTCTGCCAACCCACCTGGTCGGTTCTTAGCATGAGGTGAGCTCTTTGCTTTCACACCATTCTGAGCACTGCTGATCTGGAGAGGAAGGTGAAGATTTCACCTAGGAGAAAAGACTGATCAAACCAAGTATTTATTCTTGAAAACCGTCTCCCAGCCCAATCCAGTCACCTGAGCATGAAGAGATTCCATCTCATGCCAGCCTTCAACAGCCCTGAAAAATACCTTTTTTTGTCTGCTTGCTCATTGTCTTCTAATACCGTAGGTTTTATTTAGTATCATTTTCTTTCTCTTCTCACAAAATGTTCTTATTACATAGTGTTCCTCTATTCACCTCAATATTAATTCCAAGTATGATAACATCTTTTGAAAATGTATGATTCCCTTAAAATGCATACAAAATGGAAATAGCAGTCTTTAATTTTCACCTTTCAACTGCATTCTTTTCCCCTACCGAATTGCTTATTTTAAAACCACAGCCAGCAATATGTATCCTTTCTCTTAAGCTCAGAAAAAAAAAAAAAAAGATATAGCCACCTGCTAATATTCAGTAAGCTATTAAGTCTGCATTTTGAGAACAAAGTAGTTTTTCAACATTTTTGTTTAGTTTATGGTATTATAAAGGAAAGGTCTCTCTGCGCCAGTGGATTTTAATTTCTTTAGAATCATTATGCTGTTAAGAGTATGCCAGCAAACGTTTATAGAGCTATTTAATATACCTTCTGCTATTTAATATACCAAATGCTTTTCAGAGAAATGCAATTTAAATACTGTGCGTAACATATTTTACTAAGAAACAGAAATATTGGATTATTGTTCTATAATGTCATTGTGTGTTGGTGTTTTATATCTATACAATATATAACCATGTATTAATGGAGACTGTTGCTACACAAGAGAGAGGGATGGTCTCTTCAGAGCCCAGAGGGGGTAGCCAGGATGCCCGCGCCCAGTGTGGCTCCTGACTCCATGACTCAGAACAGAGTCCTTCACCCCCTGGCCTCTGGTTTTTCTATTGCTAATGTAGAGACAGTGATACTCACCTACCTCGCAAGAATGTTGTCATGGTAGGAGATATTTATAACTTGTTTTGAAATCAAAAGAACATATATAAATGCTAAGCATTATAACATATAATCTTTTTCTTGAAATAATCTTTGTGGTATCCTGGTAGAATCAGTAACAGGTCCTCCCCTAGAACCCAGAAGGGAAAAGAAATCCACTGCTTCCAGTCACGAATGTGGATGACAAGAATGCAGCTGCACAAAAGCCCTGGTAGAGATCTGGATTGTTAACATCTTGAGGGACCATTTTTCTCTGGTCACCTTGGCATAAATAATATCAACACAAAACCAGATGTTAGCTAGGGATTGTTTTTTAGGACCAGCATATAATACGTGGGTTTTCAGAGCGAGGACAAGCAATTTCATTTATTCTTTCTCATTTCTAGAGACTTGGTTGTAAATATGCCAAAAGACTGAAGGAGGAACCAATGGATCTCTTCTAGTGGGTTCACTTAATGTAGAATGGCTGCTTTCCTTTCTTAATGTTTCCAAGTACTGCTTCACTGGATATTTTACCGGTCAAGAGAACTAGACGGGAGCTGTGTTTTTAAGGGTAACGTGTTCTTATGACTGATTGGGGTATTCTAAATGGAATTATTCATCAATAATGGCCAACCTATAAGACTATAAAAATATTTACCATATCCCCAATCCTTGAGTTGGGAGTTATCCTGCCAGTCATTCAAATATAGGTGGCTTTGGCGATCATTTTAAAAAGAAAGAAAGCAGAGAGTAAAGGTAGAATGAAACAAATTTACCAAGTGTGTCCTTGGACAAACAGAAGTAACCTGGTTGAGTTTGAAAAGGAAATCCAAATGGAAAAATATAGTTGCTTCCTTATGGTTCCCAAGGGGTCTCCTGGGAGGTATTTCTCCACAGTCACTGGACAAGGGTAGGCTTAGTGTCATGCCCCCCCCCTCACTGCCATTGTCTTTTGTGTGCATGTGGCAGGAAAAGAGAATGTCATCTTTTATAAAATAACCATCATTGCCATTTCCTCTGAACCCCATCAAACATGGCAGTGCTGGGAGCTGTATCCCAGCATCCTCTGCCCTGTGCCACCAGCAGCAGAGTTCTTCTTGACACAGCCACCCACCTCATCAGCGTGGTCAGGGCAGCAGCAGCACAGGCAAGAACACTGACTCCAGGAGACAACACTGACCTTCTGTGGCATACAGGAAAATGGGCCCTGTACAGAGTGTCATAGATGGGTCCATGTCTCCACAGAGAACATTCCATTCTGCAGAACTTTCTCTTTCATTGGGATGTTGAATCTACCCCTCTAGACGTAGCCTTCCTCTCTTTTAGACTTCTTCTGTGTGACATAGACTTCCTTTTCTCTCACTCCCAAACATCCCAGGAAATATTTCTCAAAATGAAAAAAAAAAACACAAATCAAAAACTTAATTTCAGACTATCTGGTGAATGTCCATGTGGGAAATTCTAAGGAGGGTGACTATTCACCTTCATCTTTTTTGTCTCCATCTTTGGAATTATTTTCCAAGTGTTGGGAACCAAACAATTTGAGATTCTAGTTTAGATTTCTCTTTTGCTAATATGAACCTAGTGCCTTATTTACTCTCAAGCATTGATTTCAAAGAACAATAACCCACTACACGAGAACGTTTCTGCCTACTCTGGAGTACAATAAGGACTTCTGATGAGACGACAGGTTGAAAACTTGCATGTGAGCCTCAGTGGTTTTCAGGCAGCCTGCTCTCTTCCCAAGCCACATAACGTTTATCATCCCCGAGTCAAATCATTGACATTATTCACTCTCAAATGTCCACTGCATTGTCACTGGCCACTCTCATATCAAATAATTGAATCACAGCTTATCACTTCATGAGAGAGGAAGTGGGACATTCTGAGATTGTATCTAGGCTCTGTAAACACCACCCTCTGGATACCCCAAAATGATCAAAGTGAGACATGCTGAAAATGTCCCCATGAGTCTTTAAGGAAACTTGTAAAGAGATGCTTCATAGACTTCCAAGGTCCTGAGGAACACAGGATGAAAACTGTGTCTACAGAAAGTCAAAGCAGGCTCAGTGAAAAAAATGAAATGTCTGTGGGAAACCTCAGCATTTGTGTAGCTCTGAGCATCACGTTTTTCCCTGAATCTGGGCTGTGGTTTGGCTCTTAGTAAAGATGTTTCAGATCACATTTCTGGTTGATCTTACCCTTTGAAAAACATGTTTTATTAATGCAGTTACTGGTTTATTCAAGTGCCTCAATGAACCTGGGACTGAACAGCTCATTTCCCGCCAGACTGCAGTTATTCTCAAGTGACTTCGATTTGTTCGGAGATTTTTGTTTGTTTGTAGAAACTTCTATTGAACTAAATTCCAGGGGAAAAAAAAAATAAAAAGACTATAAGAATTTCTTGATAGGATCAGATCTAGGGTCCGTTTTTCTCAGGAATTCTGTCCTAGAATATGTCATTTTTTTTTCCATATGCATGATCATTTGTATGCATTTTTGTGTCCAGAATTCATTCCATTATTTTTATGCTTAGGGAATGTAAAAAGCTGCCTTTACTTGCAATAGAACAGTCACCTCCTGTAATGAACGATACTTTGCCATTGGTTATTCAAATTCAGTCCCCTATAAACAGCTCCATATATTGTGCACAGATGTTCAATTCTATTTTTTTTTCCTGTACTTATTCCCAATGAATTGGTGCATTTTATTATAAACCTTTTAAAGAAGAAATGAATATAACTTCCATTTGGTCTAAGGTAGATTGGATAAATGAATCTATATTCAATATTTTCCATTTGCTATGAATTAGCATCTTTTCCTTTTATTTATTGTTAACCAAATACGTGCTTACCATTTTGTTTTAACTTATTGACTTAAGATGATGGAGGTTTTGTAATAGCCCTGAAGTCAACCCTATTTGACAACCTACCTTTCCCATTTGAGAAAATTTCCATCTTTGGCAGAATTATGAAGATATTGCCTTTTGTGGTGACTAGATAGGTATCCATCAGAAGTTTCTTAAAACTATAAAAACTGAATTTTCATATTTTGACACATTAGCAGTCTTGTAGTTACAGAGTTCTAAAAGTTCACTGATTACTTTTTGGCAATGTAACAAAAAGGAATGCAAGATGTAATAGGTTATTCATTTTCTTTTGCTGTGTTTGACTGCTAAACTTCCATTTCTGTTACAAAGGATTAAAAATTCAAGATTTTTAATGTACCTTTCTTTAAATAGGATAAACTTGTACCCAGGTATAGCTACATTATTAACCTTCAGATCCCTAAATAAATTGTTGTGATGAAAAGCTGAATTGGTGGGGCAGGAAATCATTAAAATTATGAAACCTTTACCAAATGCTCATGTTTTATCAGAAGTACATATTTTGTGGCTTTTTCACACTGTCAGATGGGGGCATACATTTTTTATCAGTTTGATCTCAGAAATGAATCAGCTTCTCCCACTATTCTACATGATGAATAAGGTAAATGCAACTGGTCCAATAGGCTAAAGGCCCACTGTTTTGTATATTCACCCACCCAACATCTTTGTAACACTACTCCTATCTCTTTAGAAAAAGAAAGAAAGAAAGGTTCATTCCCAGTATGTGTTTATTTGGGGTAAATAAGTGATAATGTTTTAGTGAAGAAACAATTCTAGAGACCATGCTCTGTACTCTTTCGCGGCAGCTAGTTCTGTTGTTTCACATACTAATCCATCACACTCTCTTCTATCTATACCTAAATTCAAATACACCTGTGTCTTCTTAGCAAATACAGTGTGTTTTGGTTTTCTCCCTGTGCCTCACTCATGCTAGGCACACACTCTACCACTGAGCTATGCCCCTAGACCCCAGCAAAACCATTTTGAACCTGAGGTTTAGACCTTACCTTGAAAGACATCTAAACTAACTCCTCCAAATGCACAAATTTCCTTCCCACCTGGCCACTTAGAAGTTATGGGCATACTCCAGTCAAACAATTTGGAACGCTTAATACACAGTGCCTTTCACAAAACCCACATGGGACAAAATTTAGTTGATTTGCTAAAGTAATTTGGATTTGAGGAAAAGACTTAATCTCTGAATCAAAGACAAAAACAATCTGAAGAAGCATTTTTTTAAATTGTCTTTTGAAAGTTTAGCAAAACCTTAATAAAGTGGACTTTCTGAATCTATATTCGTCAATACTAATTATTTAATTTCATTGGCAGTTTCTGAGACCAATAATTTTATGTTTGTTTGTTTGGGAAAATAGTTTTATGAGAAAATAGTTTTATGAGACAACCTTGTGCAAGGAGTCCAATTCAGTATTAGTAAATATGAAGATTATTTGTGATTTATTTTTATTTCATACAAGAGAAAATTAGTAAGACATAATTCTCTTTTTGTAAAATGGATGTCTGGCTCTTAAGCCCATTCCTTTGGCCTCATGTAGGTAGAAAAATGAATTACTTTATGGACTGCACTATTTTCCATTGGTGTAAAATTCTAAAGAAACAACAACAACAAAAACAGACAAACCCAGTTTCTAATTTAGAGTGTTCTTGTTTAGGTACATAACCAATCTTGGGAATATGACTTGAATTTCCAGGATTAAAAATGTTGAAATTCTCTATAGCCTACCAATATAAATGAAAGATGAAAAAATTTTAAAGACAACTCAGAAAATATGATCCAACAATATTCATGTGAATCAGAGCTTCATCTACAATTTCACTTGTTTTTTTTGAAAAGAGGATTGTCTACCTCTTTAGAAAGTGCGTGTTATAAAAGGCA